ATATATATATATATATATATATATATATATATATATATATATATATATATATATATATATATATCCTCGGGAAGGAAACGAAGGCTCTGGGATAATCTGTTGCCGAAAGCCAGGAATTCTGGCTAAGATTGAACTGCACATTCCATATCAACGGCCAATCAGATTCCTCCCTGAAACGGATTATCCCAGAGCCTTCGTTTCCTTCCCGAGGACCGCAGGCCCAGGGAACGAGATTGCACCATAGCGCGCATGTCATCATTTTCAGGTCAGTGTGAACGCCTGAGTAGGCGTCTTGTTACTAATAAATCAACACTATATGATAATATATAAGAACTCACAAAGTGCAGTCACCTTTTTATAAATAAACCTTTTTAAAAGCATGTCATTGTCATTGCAGACCAGAGGCTAAAAGCACAGCCACATAGGCCTACCAGATTTATTAAGCAATCGTGAGAGTATATACATGGAAAGAATATGCACCCCGTAGCCTATAATGACGAAAGCACCGCGTATAATGCTCGAACCACTGTGTATAATGGCGAACGCACCGCGTATAATCGGGCGAAAGCACCACGTATAATGCTCGAACCACAGTGCGTATAATAGCGATTAGCGAAACCACCGCGTATAACGCTCGAACCACTGCGTATCGACAAAATGCCGTTTGATCACTTACGCCAGCTATGGCTTTCCATAAAAGAAAACCAAAGATGAAAGATGATCACATTGCTTGTTTGCCTTATGCCTGTTTATATTCAAGAATAGCCTGCCAGCCCGGAAGAAGCGCATTGTGGTAGGCCGAAATACGCCAAAACGATCGAGATTTCATCTGCCTATGTATATATATATATATATATATATATATATATATATATATATATATATATATATATATATATATATATATATATATATATATATATATATATACATATACATATACATAAAGATTAGGCTGCTGCCTCGCTCGCTCGCTAGGAGTGTTGAAAAAGAAAAAGAAAAAAAAACCAAAAAATATATTTGCGGTCTTCCTAAAATAATATAATGGTAGCACTAGCGTAAGCCTGCAGGACGAGGGTACCCATTCCGCACGGCAATTTACATCCTTAGAAAGAAAGCACTAAGTTCACTGATAATCGCATGGCTATGGGTTCCTGTCCGTGGCTTTGGTTTTCCGACATGAGTGCTAATTAACTCTTGCATAGAAAACAAACAGACGGTGTACGTGTTGTGAACACAAGTAAATTCTGCTTATATTATTCCGTTCCGGTGTAGTGTGAACGTAGAATACAAAACTGTCCACAGTCCGCAAGGAAGTTGACCGTCCATGGAAATGGGTTCCCATAACATTAAGGTATTTCGATTTTTGTACTAGAAAATACATGCATGCAGAAACCCTCGCCTTACTGACAAAACATTATGTTTTCTGAATATTATGAAGAATTGAAAGTAGTTGTCATGGTAACACGATAATTTTAAGAATAGTTTTAAACCTGGTTTTAAAATTGAAAAATCCCCCCAAAATATCACTTTTAATAACAAAATTATCAATTTCCCAAACATATGTATGCCAGGTATGTTATTATACGTAATATAAGCATCAATTTAATGTAAAATTCAACCACAAACGCTTCGCAAAACGTTTTAAAATGTTCTCAAAACTAAACGGCCTTTTATCGAATTATCGGTAAACATTGTCATTGAGTTTGAAATAAGCTGATTTCAAATTCTCGCATGAAAATAACTTTGCTTTCCTCTTTATTTAAATACTTTAATATACAAAAGAAAAAGTAGTTAATAAAACTACACTGAAATTATATGCTGTCTTTTTTCACTTATATACGCAATGATAGGTTTAGTTCGATATTCACCGTATCGCCCACCACTATCAGTTATAAATATATCAATTATAAGACAAAAAATACATCAATATTTAAAACGACTATACCTTCGCTAACGTCGGCGACTTTGCTCTATTCTTTTAGACGTTTTTAGACGTTTTTGGCTCTCAGAAAGGTTTTGAAATTTACAAAATCTTGCTAAAATACAACTTCCAAGAAATGAACTTTATCATATACTCAAAGGCGGTCGGGTTTTAAAACAATTATAAAATAAATATTTAAAACAAACTTACCTTTGTTAACGTCGGCTCCCTTCTTTTAGCCCATTCTTTAGTCTTTTCTTTCTTGAAATTTACAAAACCTTGCAAAAATGCGAGCAAAAATAAGATATATTTGCAAGAAATTTATCAATCATCAAATCAAGAAATGTTTGCTGTTTCGCTGTCGTCATGCAGTCGTTATAATGCAAACTGTAAATTGGACCAATCAGTGTCCGCTATTCATGACAGTCCGCCATATTTTTGAGATCAGTGAGGATGACCACCCACCGAAACTTCTTTGGTGAGCCACGCCCGCGATATTTGATGAACTTTAAACTTGGCTAATGCTTTCGTTTCCCCGGGTGTAAATAGCCGGGGGGAATTAGTACCCTCGCACGGCGCTTCGCGCCGTCGGCTCGGGGATTAATTTTTTGACCGAATAGAAAATACCAAATCGTCCTCACTTTGCATACTGCAAGTTGACCGTCCATGCATTTGCATCCAGGTCTAACCATATGCCAAAGATGTCCTGCTCATACTCATCATAAAAGCTGTTTTGGAACGGCAAGACGCTATACGACATCTGTTTCAGCAACCCTATAGAAATTAATTGTTTGTGAGCAAAGAACAACACACAACATTATTTATTTCTAAAGACAACAACATCCTGTCAAATACCATTTTAAAATTGGCATATTTAATAGACCTTTCCCCTTATGAGTGAAATTTTGATCTAGATATGCCTGGACAAAAATTTCATCACAGCTTGAAAGAGCATCACAAAATTAGTAATATTCCGAAGTTTCGTTGCGAAATGTGGTAAAATGAGGATAATATAACCTTGCGAAGTTTGCCGATTTTCAGTCATTTTGCATTACAAACGGGAAATTGATAATCAGCTTGATCATCTGATTATCAATTTCCCGTTTGTAATGCAAAATGACTGAAAAACGGCATACTTCGCAAGGCTATATTATCCGCATTTTACAACATTTCGTAACGAAACTTCGGAATATTACTAATTTTGTGATGCTCTTTCAACCGCTCAAGCTGTGATGAAATTTTTGTCCAGACTTGTCTAGATCAAAATTTTATTCAAAAGGGGAAAAGTATATTTGTGAAGCAAAACTGTTTATTTTTTAACTGTGTGCGGAGCATGCAATTCTGCAATGGTCGCCTGTACTTTTTCAAACAGCTTTTTTTTGTTATTCATAATTAGGCCATCTTCAGCATTTGTTATCCCCGAGCCGACGGCGCGAAGCGCCGTGCGAGGGTACTAATTCCCCCCGGCTATTTACACCCGGGGAAACGAAAGCATTAGCGAAGTCTAAAGTTCATCAAATATCGCGGGCGTGGGTCACTGTGCGTGTTTCGGTGGGTGGTCATCCTCACTGATCTCATAATATAGCGGACTGTAACGAATAGCCAACACTGATTGGTCCAATTTAAAATTGGCATTATAACGGCTGCATGACGATTGACGACAGCGAAATTGATTTGATGATTTCTTGCAAATATATTTCATTTTTGCAAGATTTTGTAAATTGCAGAGGATTTTTGATGAAATAAAGGCAAGAGGATTGCTAAAAGAAGGAAGTAAACGTGCCGACGTTAACGAAGGTAAGTTTGTTTTAAATATTGATGCATTGTTTGCTTTTAATATACTGTAATCTCGGCTGTAATTACTTTAAAAGCCGATCGTTGCGTATATAAAATATGAAACAAGACAAAGTTTATTGATAAAGGCAGTTTAGTTTTATATTAAAAGAACACTTTCAAACGTTTTGCGAAGCGTTTGTGGTTGAATTTTACCTTAAATTGAAGCTTATAATATTACGTATAATAACATACCTACTGTAATTACTTTAAAAGCCGATTGTTGTGTATAAATATGAAACAAGACAGCGTATTATTTCAGTGTTTCTTTATTGATTACACTTTTTATTATACTAAGCAAAGTTATTTGCATGGGAGAATTTGGAATCATTTTATTTCGAACTCAAAGTTTATCGATAAAGGCAGTTTTGTTCTATAGTAAAAGAACATTTTAAAACGTTTTGCGAAGCGTTTGTGGTTGAATTTCACCTTAAATTCAAGCTTATATTACGTATAATAACATACCTAACATATATATGTTTAGGAAATTGATAACTTTGTAATTAAAAGTGATATTTATAGGGGATTTTTCATTTGTAAAAATATTCTTAAAAAATTATCGTATTACCATGACAACTACTTAAAATACTTCACGTTCGGAAAATAAAATGGTTTTGTCTGCAAGGCGAGGGTTTCTGCATGCATGTATTTTCTAGTAACTTATCTGAATGGTTTTGTAGATGCACGGAAATTTCGAGTGTGATTTTTTATACATTTATTAATACACCTAATCAGGAGCAGTTGATATTTGACCAATTATTGATACAGCTATTTCAGTTAAGGTTATCGATCCACGGGGAACGCGGCCGGAAAAGTCGAATACGAGCGCGATTGGCTGCTGGGAATCGCTAACAAATTAATGAATTTTCAAAGGGGTTCCCAGCAGCTCGGTGACAACCTTAATTGAAATAGCTGTATACAACATGCTTATGCATGGACTGTGGAAGATTTTATATATTAATTGGTAGTTTCATGTATTGCTTCCTGTTAAACAGTGGTATATGCAACATTTCAGTATAGTACGCGAGTGTTTAGTTGTTGTGGGTACATGGCTAGAATCAGTTTCAATCGTTGAAGTAATCATTTGAAATCTTCTCCCAGAACGGAGGAAGTGCCATTTCAGAGACTGTAGATTTCAAAAAGTTTCCGGGGAGCATTCCGCCCTATGCCTCCGTGTAAGGAAGTATAAGCACGATCAATTACAAGTTACAACACTACAAACTAAATTGCTTATGAGTTGTATAACCTCACTTATACACTCTAAAAACACTCTGGTTAAATTTGGGTTAATTCAACCAGGATGAGGTTAAAAATCTACCTACACAATCCTGGTTAAAAAAATTAAACCATTTTCCTGGTTAAAAGTCCAAAGAAGTATGGCCAGATTTTTGTTGAATCAATAATTTTTAACCAGGAAATCAGTTAATTTAACCAGGAATGTGCTAGGTAGTTTATTGATCCAGTTCCTGGTTGAATTTAACCAGAGTGTTTTAAGAGTGTAGTCGTAATTGCCGCCACGCCATGATTCGCAAACACTGGCCTATATCACAGAAGTATTATCCCCGAGCCGACGGCGCGAAGCGCCGTGCGAGGGTACTAATTCCCCCGGCTATTTACACTCGGGGAAACGAAAGCATTGGCGGAGTCTAAAGTTCATCAAATATCGCGGGCGTGGGTCATCAACGGTGTTGGGTGGGTGGTCATCCTCACTGATCTCAAAAATATGGCGGACTGTCACGAATAGCGGACACTGATTGGTCCGATTTAAAGTTTGCATTATAACGACTGCATGACGACAGCGAAATAGCAAACATTTTTTGAGTTGATTTGATGATTGATAAATTTCTTGCAAATATATTTCATTTTTGCTCGCATTTTTGCAAGATTTTGTAAATTTCAAAAGCTCTCTGAGAAAGGAACTGCGAAAGAATCGGCTAAAAGAAGGGAGCCGACGTTAACGAAAGTAAGTTTGTTTTAAATATTGATTTTATAATGGTTTAAAACCCGACGGCCTTTGCGTACATCAATATGAAACAACTAAACAAGAGAGCATATAATTTCAGTGTATCTTTAATATTGATTCCCTTTTTTATGATATTGAATTTTTTAAATAAATAAGAAAGCAAAGTTATTTGCAAGCGAGAATTTTAAATCATTTTATTGCAAACTCAAAGTTTATCGATAAAGCCATTTTAAAAGGCAGTTTAGTTTTATATTAAAGAACACTAATGACTTTAAAACGCTTTGCGAAGCGTTTGTGGTTGGATTTTACCTTAAATCGACGCTTATATTACGTATAATAACATACCTAACATATATATGTTGGGAAATTAATAATTTTGTGATTAAAAGTGATATTTATAGGCGATTTTTCATTTGTAAGAATATTCTTAAAAAAATATCGTGTTACCATGACAACTTAGATACTTTATGTTCGGAAAATACAATGGTTTTGTCAGCAAGGCGAGGGTTTCTGCATGCATGTATTTTCTAGTATGTATAATTTGTACACAGAGTTCACACAATGCCAAAACAGGTCACACGCACGATTAGCCATACGGCGCATGCGTAACCTCCCAGCCAGTACCGTGACATTTTTAATAAGGAAATAAAAATCCGAATTTTTGTCATAGAAACAGCGATTCTAACGGAACTATCCAGGTTATTTGCCTTTCGTTTTAATTTCAAGAAAATGGGTTAGCCTGGACATTTTTAACAACAGATGGGGCTATAAACACTATTTGAACGGTGCGAAAAAAGCAACATGAGATCCA